GAATGACATGCGGTCACAATGTTGGTGAATGTGGTGAATGTTTCAGCGTAAAAGCAGTAGGACTGGCATCTAAACTGCTGTAGAACTAAAGTGTAATGACATGTTGGAAGTTGAGTGCAGTCCTTCCGATTGTCCACACGGGGACATTGTAGACCATCACATTTAAATTCTCTCTGTAGGGTCTCGGTGCTCCTCCCAGATTCAGAGGATGATGATGTCTCTCAGGCGATTCAGACAAAGAGATTTAGAGGGCGAACGAGAACGGGACTGAACACTGATTATGTTTATAGGAAATGTGTCAGAATAAACGTGGGCGCCTTTGATTTTTTTCTATTTATGCCGTTACACACCGTGTCAATTTTTATGCTTTTTCTCCTTGAACATAATTATGACTGGACCGAGCAGATCGATCTGTGTGTGGATATATCTCGTCTTCGTGCTGCTGGATTGTTATCTGGGAAACGGTTTCTGGGCAGCTCTCTTACTCCGTCTCAGAGGAGGTGAATCTGGGGACTGTTGTCGGAAATGTCGCGAAAGATCTGAGCATCAATGTCCAGGATTTGGAGCCCCGCATGTTTCAGATCGTTGCTGGATCAAAGAGGAAATATTTCGAGGTAAATCTAAAAACTGGAGCCCTCTATGTTAACGAGAGAATAGATCGAGAAGAGCTTTGCGGTGATGAGCCCAAATGCTCACTCAGTGTAGAAGCTGTTATTAATAACCCACTGAAACTGTATCGTGTTGAAATTATTATTTTAGATGTGAATGATAATTCCCCTTCATTTGAAAGCACGTCACAAGAAATCGACATTTCTGAGAACACAGCGGAAGGAATTAAATTTCCTCTGCATCAAGCACACGATGCAGACGTGGGAAAAAATTCCGTAAATACCTACAAGCTGAGTCATAATGAACATTTTTCATTGACTACACATAAAGAAGAGGGTGTGACTCCTGAGTTGGTGCTTCAGAGAGTTTTAGACAGAGAAAAACAGTCTGTGATTAAGCTCACACTGACTGCCATCGATGGAGGAACACCTGCTAAATCTGGAAGCATGACTATAATAATCAATGTGTTAGATATTAATGACAATCCTCCGATTTTCAGCCAACGGTTGTATAAAGCCAGGGTCTACGAAAATGTTAAAATAGGCACATCAATAATTACACTGGATGCCACTGATTTAGATGAAGGACAGAATGGAAAAGTGATTTATTTATTCAGTGAAGTCAGTCAGGGGAAAAAAACGAATTTGTTTTCTATAAATAAACGAACAGGAACTGTAACGAGTACAAGGAATATTGATTTTGAAGAAAATAATGCTTTTGAACTTCGAGTACAAGCCAGTGATGGAGCTTCCTCGCCTATGAGTTCACATGCTAAATTACTGGTTGAAGTATTAGACGTTAATGACAACGCACCTGAAATTTCAGTCACATCACTGTTGAACACTGTTAAAGAGGATGCATCAGTTGGCACAGCCATTGCTCTTGTTTCAGTATTTGATAAAGATGGAGGTAAAAATGGGATGGTGACATGTAAAATTTCTAATAATGTTCCTTTTAAATTGGAGTCAAATTATAAGAATTCATATTCATTAGTTGTGGACGGTCCTCTTGACCGAGAGACTGCACCTCAGTACAACATCAGCATCACTGCTACTGATGAGGGCAGCCCACCACTCTCCAGCACGAGTGTTATAACTGTTCATGTGTCAGATGTAAATGACAACAAACCTCAGTTTTCAGAAAGTGTGATCAACATCTACGTGAAAGAAAACAGTCCAGTAGGAGCAGTTATTAAAACAGTGACAGCAGCTGATGCAGACATTGATCAAAATAGTCAGGTGAGTTACTCTTTTTTACAAAGCAACAGTGACTCAGTGCCACTATCTACATTATTAAAAATCAACTCAGAGACAGGAGATATAATCAGCCTGCAGTCTTTTAACTACGAGGAGTTAAAAAGTTCCACTTTAAAGTTCAGGCCACAGACTCTGGTGTTCCTCCACTCAGCAGCAACGTCACTGTCAACGTTTTAATCCTGGATGAAAATGACAACAGTCCCACGATTCTCGCGCCATATTCTGAGCACGGCTCCGTTAACAGTGAGAGCATCCCCTATTCTGCTGAAGCGGGATACTTTGTGGCAAAGATCAGGGCTGTAGACGCAGACTCTGGATACAATGCGCTGCTTTCTTATCACCTGTCTGAGCCCAAAGGAAACAACTGTTCAGGATCGGAACCAGCACCGGGGAGATCAGGACTAGGAGGAGAATGAGTGACAATGACCTCAAAACTCACCCCTTGGTGGTCTTGGTCTCTGATAACGGAGAACCCTCCCTGTCAGCTACTGTGTCTATTGATGTGGTGGTGGTTGAAAGCACGGCTGAAATCCAGACTCAGTTCAGACATGTGCCTGTAAAGGAGGACAGCTTCTCGGATTTGAACCTGTATCTGCTGATCGCCATTGTGTCGGTGTCCGTCATCTTTCTGCTCAGCCTCATCACTTTAATAGCAGTCAGATGCCACACATTTCCGACAACAGTCCCCAGATTCACCTCCTCTGAGACGGAGTAAGAGAGCTGCCCAGAAACCGTTTCCCAATAACAATCCAGCAGCACGAATAACAGATTAATCCACAGAAAGCTTCTTCTATGCGGTAAAAGCATATTTACAAAGCAGGCGAAGGCACAATACTCCAGATAATATGTCACAGCAACCAATAAATGGAAATGAATGTATAATTATTCCAAAGCAATCTTCTCTATCTTCTCAAATAAAGACCACCGTTCGTTCTCTTCCGAGCTCTCTTTGTAACAAAGCACACAAATGCATCATTTGCTGAACGTAGGATGGGAGGGGCCCGAAGTCATCGACCAGAACGTCTAAATGTGACGGTCTGTACCGTCCCTACGTGGTCACTTGCTCTAACTACATTACACGTCAGCAAAACCAGCGGACAATGGTGCACTGTATATTCTTAGTGTTTAAAAAGGGTAATATAAATCACTAGATTAAAGGTTAGAAATAATAGTTCATCAGTTAAACGGATGATTACAATTAACATTTTATTATGGAAAGATGTTAAGGTATGTGATATTTTAAATGCTAAATTAAAAAAAATAATTGGGCAAATACACTTGTTTGTTTAAAGTAAAGAGAGAAGTGAGCACAAATGTTAAATATATAGGGGTATGTTTAAACACGTTATCGATGTTGTGATACGTTGTTTAACGTCTACTAAATATGCCAAAACACATCCATAACCGTGCACGTGAACCCGACAAGGACACATACGTTGAGCACCACGGAGAGCGGCAAATGAGTGATAATGCGAATCTGCCATGAATAATTCACGTTACAACAGAAAAGAGAACAACAACACAGCGTTGGAGAAGATCCTGTAGTGCTGTAAACTCAGCAACAGTGATTTCTTCGCATTTGTATTATTTTAGTCACAGCTAAGAAGTGTGTAAATGTATTGATAAAGATGATAAAAACTACGAGATGAAGATAAATTACATTAGGCTTTTAAGATTTCCAAACAAAGAAGTGCAGCAGTGAATACGAAATTTAATACTTTCTTACCTTCTCTTTGTTAGGCAAAGTCTGAGTCCTGGTAAAAGTGTCTCCTCCGTTAATACTGATCAGTTCTCCATCTACAGGTGGAAAAGGGCCTGGGAAAACTACTACGTCACTCTTGAGCGTGTCTGAGCTGAAACACACGTCATACTGCTG